GAAGCGGAAAACATAATCATCCACCTTCTTTAGACGTTCGAGTACAAGTCGACCACAGACGACGCAGCTCACAGCAGAACATAGCACCGGAAGTGTCGACAGTGAGCGATTAAACATTTTCCAAACGGCGGCAGGGGTTCCCGTCTCGAAAGTGTACGCCTCTCGCTTACTGGCAAACACTAGATCGCTTTTCATTTCCAAGGACACTGTAATGAAAAGAATGCTAGTCGAAGAGAGTTGCTGGTAGCTGACACAGCAATAGAAGCTCTTTTTCGCAAGTTGACTGAGCATGGCTTCCGCTTCAAGTACGAAGCTGACCAAGATTCACGACGTCTTAAGTACCTGCTGTGGGCCCACCCAGACACCATAAGACTTGCACAACACTACATGAGTGCAGCTGCTGTTGACCGTACGTACAAAACGAATAAGCATAACTGGTCGTTGAGCAACATCATTGTCCTCACCGGGCTTAACAAGGTACTCCCTCTCGCTCAGTGTTTGTTAGCAGAGGAAGCCGAGACCAATTACACGTGGGCATTTACTAAGATAAAGTCTTTGCTTGTAGAAATTTCTGTCCCGTTCCTTCACCTTCTTGCAAAGGATCGAGATCTTGCGGGCATGAATGCAAGTAATGCTGTATATCCTGGTATACGGAAGATTTTGTGCCGCTGGCATGCCAGCCGCAATGTTCTCGCACGTGTCCAAGACGATTTAGGATCTGTACGACTCACTCAACCAGAACCAAATGGAGAGATGAAACAGGATTCAGTAGAGACCGATGTCTTTATGGCAAAGTATTATGAGGCTGTTGGTTCGGAAACTGAAACTGAATTTGATGAGCATCGTGCTGCACTTCGTGCGCTTAATAGCGTTACGGCAAACTATCTGGAGCGAACGTGGTGGAAGTACCAAACACGGATTGCCAATTGCTGAACGGACCGGTACACGCACGTTGGATGCCACGACACGTCGACGGTAGAAGAAACACATGCCAAGATAAAACAATGGCTCGAAACGTCAAAAGGGGATCTTCTCACCGTGTTTGTAAAACTCCAATCATGGTGGAGCGCAGCTGGCAAAGACGATTAGCTACCAATCTTCACAAGATGCAACAATGCCACCGCACATATTGCGTTATGATCAGTATTCAGCAGTAGTTCTCTTAATCTCGACGTATGCTCTCACAGAGACGGACAAACTGTGGGAAGAAGCTCGCAAGCTGCTTGTCACTACTGGAGGCGAACGAACCCGATACTCAGGCGTATTTCGGCGCACACATTGCAGACCATGCATTCATGAATAAGTGGACATTCACGAGTCAAATGGCCAGCTGAAGATCTTATCTGAGCACTTCGATAGACATCGGTTGATTCTTTCAAATGACACACGCTTACAACGTCGGATTCTCGAGCCAGCAAACTTGAGCCCCAGGCGCAAATCATCCAATCAGCAAAGACCACATACTACTGGAAACGGTTCAAGCAGCACTCGTTGAGAGCCGTCGTGGTTCGAGAGAAATGACCGAGCCAACTATCTGGTTTTTCTTTTCAAGCGCTTTTGAAGGAATATAATGCCAGTACTATAGCATATTTACCGCCACGGGCATGGGGTTACGCAGGATTCAATTCATTTCAGTAGTGTAGTAGACCTAGCGAACAAATTAAAAAATATTAAAAAAAACACAGGGAGGATTCGGACCCCCTTCTCCCTTTTGACGCTTTTCCATTAAGCTACGGTGGTGCGGTAAATGCATATACATAGCAGTTCCCGGTTAGTAAGCAGGTCTTCATATCCATTGGTTTAATGTAGCGTCCTTTATCTTAAATTGTCGGACGGGGAATGAACGGCATGCCGCGCCAACCCTCTTAGGACAAAAGTCCCCGCTCAATTTGCCCTTCAGCAGTCAATCAGACTATGCGCTAAAGCGGATCGATCGAGAATTCCCCAGTACTTTCCTTAAATAACTTTCTCGAAAAACGATCTTCTCCATCAATCGATGTTCACGACTACTAGTTGATGGCGAATGGTATTTATTGACTCAGACGATGATTGGTAACTTGTGTGACGTCTGCAGATGTGTTTGTCCTATTTATACTTGGCTGCTTCCTACTTGGGCGCTCCTTAGTTTCTCCCCTCGTTTAGTAATTGCAATAATCATGAATGATCAAGCTCACACACAGTTGCAAAGTCCGTTTCGG